GGAAAATTTAAGGGGTAGTTATATAATAATTTTGGACGATCTCGGGCGGTCGGATACTTATGACCGCTACTGTATTTGCTCCTTTTCACATCACAAAATCAAAGATTGTTCCAAAAAACGTCATGCCTTTCAAAATAAAAGTACCCAACATCTTTACCAATAGTTTCAACCAGTATAATACAATAATTATAAAGCTCCAACTCGTTCTCGTAAGGTGCCATCAGTCCAAACATCACTTTTGCTAACATCGTCACAGATAGTACACAGAAACTACCTAAACAAACTCGCATGCCTATGAACCCACGTCTCTTGATTAAGAACACAAATAATAGTCCTCCAGTACAACCCTCTACTTTATCATTAGACTGGAGTGACGATATCCCTTTGAATATGAAACAACGGAGCAATCAATTTCTTCAACAACAATAAAAATCACGTAACATCTTTGCAGGAACAAAAGTAGGAGGATCTATACACGAAAAAGACACCGATTGTGACTTTAAAGACTTCATCAAAGCAAACTTCTTACAACTTACCCAAAAAATTGATGATCTCACAGTTACCTTAAGTTCTATTATGAAATGAATAGAGACAATCAAGTAGACACTCAATATTAAGGTCAGCTTTCCTGACGAAGAAATAATGACTGATTATGACTTAAAACAATATGGAACTGACCCAGTAGTTGATACGTCTAAGTTGATCATTAGTAAACAATGTTAAACTATCGCAACTCTCACAGAGATTACTGACGCACAAAACCTACGCCTTAAGAACTTCACTGAAACCGTCAACACCTTAGTTAACACCTGCAACACATTCTGTGCAGTTCTTATTCATAATGACTTGCTTCAAATTGACAAAATGCCAATATTGTATACCCTTAACACCAGTTATGATATAGACGCAGAAAGGCTATGAAAGGCCTTCCCCAATTTTAAATTATATTATTATGATTACTATCCCTACAGATACTAACAACATACTTCCTTCACCTAATAATAATTCTAATACAACCTTCCTTAATATACCCAAACTTTCATTCGCAATCCATAATGTCTGATCCTTTACTAATATCGCCAAACAACATTACCTTTTATCATTATATTCTTCATACAACATAGACATCATTGGTCTTCAAGAAACTAACTTTAAACCCCAACACGAAAAAATTTTTAATCCCTCACATCCCTCATTTATATTATTTTTTAGCTCAAACCTAAAACAATATATCACATTTAGTGTAGATTTAATATTTAACAAAAAGATTGCTTATCACGTTTACAAACATGACACTAAATTCGATTGAATCATACATGTTAATTTACAATTTGCAAACAAACAAAAACTTCATATCATTAATTACTACCTACTGCCAGCTGACCTCAAAATGAGAAAGGAAATTCAACTGGTTCTTCGCAAATGGATTCAAGAAGCTGCTATCAACGATTTCCATCTGATTGTTCTGGGAGATTTTAATGCTGATATGGACCAATTACACAATCTCACAAACAGCCTAAAACTCTTTGAAGATTTTTATAGACTGTCACTTTTTGATGCCTTCTTAATCAAACATGATCGAAATAGAATTAACTTTTCTACTTATATTTGAATATCTGATGAAATTTTCCTTAATATTTTAGATTGTCATATGGTTACTCCTAGAATAAATATATCTGATCACCATGTAGCCATTACTACAATTACGAATTTCTTAGACATCAAATTTAACAAATGAAATATACCCAAAAAAATTAGTTTTACTTTTGACAAAATGAACAGGGACCTATGAAGCAAATTTAGTAACAAACTCGACGCATTATTAAATGGCAGTCAAACTAAAACAATCAATCAGCAGATATACTGGATGCACTCTTTACTAAACAAACACTGGGACACCTTTTAGCTTTCAGGACCTTTTAATTAAAGTAGCTAAAAAATGCATACCTTTAAGGAAATCGTTAGAACAATTCAAGTATTCAAGACCTTCTAACCTCATAAAATTATACTCACATCAAAAAACCTTACACAAGTTCAAAAAGTTTCTCCTCAAAGTCAAACAGGATGCTTCGTTTCCTACTAATTAGATCCCAATGTATGATAATTTTCACAATATTGCTAACTCACTTGCATTTGTTACTGTGCATCCCAGCCTAGACTATCCATTTAATTTTGTCGACCTTCTCCTCTCAGATACGGTTCTTCTACTTAAAGTCATCTTATACAAAGTCAAAATTCATGAGAATGATCACAAGCTTGCTTCTATACAGAAACATTTAGATCAGTGATTAGATGCTTATATTAACAATCCCAAAAAATTGCTTGATTCAGCATTAAATTGTATAAGGAAGACAATCGTACTGGACAGATATTTATCACGAAATGTTCAAAAACTCCTCACAGACGAACAATTAGTTAAACAAACAGTTAACGACCACTTTCAAAGAACAGCAGGTACTACACATAAACTGAAAAGCATCCCTGACGAATGGCTTCCCTCATACAGCCCATTAGAAAATGTGAATCCTTGCATATATAAGGACCTAATGGCACTACCCTTAGCAGAAGAATGGTATTCTATCGTTAATTCTCTCGCAGATAGCAAAGCATCTGATCCCTCTAAGATCTCGAATGAAATATTTAAACACCTTAGTCCCTTAGCTAAAAAAATCTTTTAGTACTTAATATGTGGCTGTCTGTCAATCTCAACACTCCTACATTAATGGAATTTGACGTTTATTTATCTGATTCCAAAACCCAAACCTTGGAAATTTGATTTAAATAACATGAGACTAATTACTTTGTTAGAATGCTCTAGAAAAGCCCTTATAAAACTCATTAATACACGGCTCTCAACTGTATTCATCCAACACAACATCCTCAGAGAACATAATTTCACAGGACTTCCCTTTCGCTCTACCTTTGAATCCTTGCACATTCTAGACAATATAAAAAATGACGCCCTCTCAAAAAAAGAATTGTAAATTTTTCTACAAGACATGTCAAAAGCTTACGACTGCGTAAATATTTTTATGATGGTCAGAGCACTTGAATGTTTAAAACTTCCTAAAGAATTTATTTTCTTTATTCTAAATATGTTTATGCATAGAAAAAATCAGGTTTTTACCTCGTTCGGGCTTACAGATACTTACAAAGTTTTCTCAGGTATTGATCAAGAAGAAATTATCTCACCAGTTTTGTGATGTATCTACTATAATCCCCTTTTGTGTAAGATGCAAAATTCTGACTTAGGCTATACTATGTTAGCCAAATAGAAACCTAATGTCTGCCTCAACTTATTTGAAAAACGCTCATGCAAAACTTCAGTCTTAGCATATATGGATGACACACTGTAGATCACTGATTCTAAACAACAACTCAACAGAATCATAGATATTGCTAACAGTTTTTACGATTTAAATAGTATTAAAGTAAACTGGTCAAAATCAGACCTGTTGACTAATACAAATAATATCTAAATCATTGAAATATGTGTCAATAGCTTCACACAAACAATTACTGCCACCGGTCCTCAAGATTCTATCTGATATTTAGGGTTTGGATCTCGCTTAAATGTAATAAGACGTTTATCGTCAAACAAGCTGTTCAGGATATCAAAGCTACTGTGGCTACTCTGTTTAACAAAAGACTGACAGATAAACAACTCATATACATATTCAACATTGTTATAATACCTTTTATTGAGTATTGTACCTAACTAACTCATTTATCTGAAACCCTAGCTGATCGTATTGTATGACCATTTAGAGCTTTGCTTAGAAAAAACTTCATTTATTATGAAATACACCCTCTTGTATTCTCTATTCAAAATCTTTTTATGAAGTAACAAATTTTTACCACAGGTACATGCAAACCCTCAGTAATGCCTTACTAACGTCTCTCAATGATACTGGTCTTCTAGGACTTTCTACCAACATATGGCTATTATAACTGCAAGTTAAAGAATGGTTGCCAACCTCACCACTAGTTGAATGGCCCTATAAAAACTCAAAGTTTTTCAACAGTTGGATCCCAACACTTTTATGTGATCTCAAATACTTTAATATCAGCCTATCTTTATCAGAGCAATTTACCCATAGAATTCAAGGTGGATCTATCACTATTCAATCAATTATCCCACAAGACTATAGGAAAGTAGCCCCTTCCTTAGCCAAATATTTTCTAATATTTGTGAAACAATTAATCAGTCGAGATAGAAAGTCACTGTATATCGCCAAAGATCTGAGATATTTGTCATCTATTTCCAGGAAAGGACTGTTTCTGAAATGGTATCTCAAGATTAGAGACGCACTTAATGTTGACGCACTTAACTCATTACCTGCAAATACAATATACAGACAGAATGCAATACATGGATTCCAGACGCTACTATTACACGACGAAATAACAGTTTGTTCATTTGTTTTATATTAGAACTGCAACACTAATATAATGATAATAGGTCATGTTCTGAAGATAGCAGGCAGTTTTGCTGATATTGTTCACTATGCATATACCTCTCTACTGAGACAATTTTGCATCAATGTAATGGATGTTCACTAAACTAATCCATATTATTCAAGAGTAATTCTCCTAAACTCAAAAAATACAAATGCATAGTAATCACGTCCCTAAACCTCTGTGTAAAAATAGTACTTAAAGATATTTAGACGCAACATGTCAGCGCCTGTTCTTTGATTCTTATGAAAGATATTGCCTTCTATTTTTTTAACCGTTTTTATAATCATACCTCCCATTTACCCTTGTTTGAGTTTTGCCATCCTGAACCCCTCATACTAATATCAAAGTTTATTATGTTATCACATAGTCAAAAACTACTAACTCTTTTGTAACAATTTTTGGCTGCCATATATTTAGAATTTTATACAGATGGTTCCCTTATGGGCTTGGGCACTCCTTCTATGAGAATGAGTATGACTTGGCTGCAAACGAATCCATGTTCACCTATGATCTCCTTTTCATCTGCATTAGTTACTACATTTCTCTCGTCTTTAATTGCGGAGTTAGCAGCAATATTTACTGCTATCCTCGTTATCCTATGGAATTGCCATGTTACGATCATGACAGACTCACAAGTTGTGATTAGACAATTCCATAATTTTAAAAGAATTTTGTGTTTTTCTCTGTCCACTAGACCCTGTTCAAGATTAATAATTTTTCGATTTGGCTGAGTCTATTTGAAATTATTAAATCACAGTACCTCAACATCTACCTCTGTAAAGTTAAAGCACATTCAGAAACACCTTGAATGACAAAGTTGACTAACTAGCAAAAAGCGCTGATGGGAAAGTAGCGCTCAGGTTTGATCTCTCTTACATCAATCACTACTACTACAAATATGATAATCTGGAGATCTCAATTCCCATACGTCTCTTCATGAAGAACATTACACAATCTATATTGTTTGATAAAATACAACACCTCTATGTGATTAACAAACACCAGCATTTGAACATTAACTGGACTGCTATGAGTTTCTACATTAATGACAATGTTGCTGTAGCATATACCTCGTACGAAGCCTCTGCAGTCTGCAAGAAAAAAATCCAAAGACTCTTAGAAATTCTTCCTACTATGGAAATTTTAAAAGAAAGACACTCTGACATCTTTGATCAATCATAGCTTTGTGTCAAATGTGATTATGCAGATGAAACCTTCTTCTATATTTAGGAATGTCCAATTACTTGGACTCGAATGAAGAACATCATATGAGACTCACAACAAGTCTTACAAAATTTGATCTAAAATAATGGCTTAACTACGAACATCTCTGATTTACACATATGGCACATGTCTACTGAATCTTTTCCCTACCTACAAGCTCTTATAAAAGGAATGATTCCTCAAACACTATACATATTTGTTTACAATGCTATAGGATCAAAGGACCTCACTTACGTAATACTCTCTACCTTTATGCATTATATCTTCGAACAAACACAGGTAATATGGACTGACCGATGTTCACAACCAGTTACATTTGAGAAATCACACAACATCAACTTAAAATCAAAGAAAGATCACACTGTTGCAATAGAATATAATATTACAAGTTCCACTCCCCTTGCAAATATTAATAACTCTATTAAAGACATAGTTCAATATGGATCCCACTGGTTGAATTTTTGGTACCATAGTGGCCAAGCCCTTTCTCATTCAGTTAGTTATTGGAATATGATATTTTTAGCTTAGGTTAGGAATAGATTCTGGGAAAGTGCAGGGTCGGTCTTAATTTAATTTAGATTAAATAGAGATTTTTGTATTTTCTTAAATTTGTATATTTTAACTTTGTTATGTGTACTTTGAATTTAATAAAGATCATGCGAAACTACCGTACTTAAAAAAAAAAATTTATTTTTTATTTTTTAAACGATAAATTTTAATATATCAGCTATATAAAAAACTCTTTCTGCTACTTCACCAAAATGCCAAAAAATAGCAGAAACAATAAAAACAACCGCGGTCGCTCAGCGT